TTCCCAAAAACTATACCCCATGCTCCAAAGCCACTGTTTACCCTACAAGCTTTGCTGAGTATGTCTTTAAGTTTTCTGAAAATCTCTTTAAAACTCAAGACAGAAAACAGCCCTTTAAACCTTCCCTGAAATCCACATTGATCTCCTTGGAAGCACAGATCTGAAATGGGCCTGTGAGGCTGGCCAAATGACCTGCCTCGAGTTCCCCTACCTTCCCTAACCTCCTACCCACAGCCCCCCCAAACCCCGGTGGCTGTCAAGCTTGACAGAAATCTGTAAGACCTGCTAAAAGAATTCTGTGCCTGTCTCCCTCCTTCTGTGTCCTTGTTGCCCTGGAAACAGAAAGGCCAACCTTAGTCAGCAGTTTTGTTTACAAGCTGGGTTCTCTTGCTCCCACCCCCACCCTCAAGTGCCAATTAAAGAGAAGATAGAGGGGAAACTATGGAATTTGCTTGAAAATAGTAACAGTCTCTCAACAGTGCAGGCAGGCACTCAAAAGGTCGATGCTGTTGCTTCAGTAAATAATGCTAAATTTAGGGACTACATTTAAGGAAATATTCCAAGTTGACAGAGACAGACAGAAAGAGAGACAGAAAGTGTGTGTGTGTGTGTGTGTGTGTGTGTGTGTGTGTGTGTGTGTGTGTGTATGATATAATATGGGGATGAGACCTAAGGCCTTATGCATGCCAGGCAAACCATCTACATGTGCTATATCCTTATAAAAATTCCACATGTACAAATATATGTATGTATATATGTGTGCCAAATACATGTATCCCACCTATGCATGTATACACATGCATGTATATACAAGTGTGGAAGTCAGAGGACAACTTGTGGTAGTTGGTCTTTTTCTGCCTTATAATTTTCAGGGATCACAGTCAAGCAGCATACTTGGTGGCAAGTGCCTTTACTCTTTTGAGTCATTTTACAGGCCCCTCTTTTTATTTTCCTGTTTTGAGACAGAGTCTCTCACTAATTGACCCAGGCTGTCTTTAAACTCAGTTGGCAGCCCAGGATGGCCTAAACTCTCAATTCTTTTGTCTTATCCTTCCAAGGACTTGGAACTAGAGGCATGCTACCACCAGGCCTAGCCTAGTTAAGATGCTAAATCCATGGAGATGCTGCTACTTTGGCCCTGATTCAGCAGTAGTTGGATAGCTTACTGGCCAGGAGGAGTGGTCAATGGAAAGAGATACAGAAGTATCTTACACTATTTTCACAGAAAGTGAAGTAGTCTGGGCTCAGTAACAATAACAAAAGTCAAAGAGGTAACCACTGGGGCCCAAGGAGGTAGTGGTGTTAATGTACCCTTTGGCCAACAACTTAGATTAGAACTAATCATTCTGTCCCATCTGCTACCCATAAAAACCATTTCAAGGCAGGCATGTCCCATTTATCTTTGAATTATTTTCAACCCCATGGATACTGGCTAAGGGAATCAATAGGGAGATAAAGGAAGAAAGGGGGAAACAGAGTTTCATCCTAAACCAATGGAAACTCACTTAAAAATTGCAATCAACCCGTCTCCAAATTTTTTTTGTTAATGCCCTGAGTGACTTTAGCACCAATGAGCTAACACAGGGCTCCACTGGGCCTGTTGGCAGACAGTACAGGCCAGATGGCTATGCTACACAGACCGAGGAGTTGCTTTCTCCACGGGGCAACACCAAACTGTAGGTGTAGAGTAATATATGAATAAGAGAAGGATGAAGAGAAATGAACAAGGACCAAGAAGACAGGCTGTAAAATCAAAATCTCTGCAGACACGAGAGCCAGTTACGGACCTCACAGTGAGCAAGAGATGTCCAGGAAGCTGCTGGTGATGGAGACAGAACAAACCAATGTGAATTTATAGAAACCCCAGAGATCTCATTAGGAAAAACCAGTCCTCCACACTACAAATTCCCATTTGGTGCTAGAAAGCAGTTCAACAGGTAAATCAAAGACCACTTTTACTTTGAGTCTTTTCCTACCTCTACCCTGGTAAAGGCACAAATAACAAAGTGAAAAATTACCAGAAGAAAGAAGTCAAAAAAAAAAAAAAAAAAAAGCCTTTCAGGGCTGGGCAGTGAGGGTCAGTAGGTAAAAGTGCTTGCTGAGCAAGCCTGACTGTATGTGGCCAACCCCTCAAATCCAGGGCTGGAAGGAGAGAACTGACTCCTGAAGACTGTACTCTGACCTCCGCAAGCATGCGCATACACACTAATAGCAAAAAGCCTGCCAAAGGGCTGGAGTAATGACTGAACAAGTAAGAACAATTGCTGTTCTTGCAGAGGATATAAGTCTGTTCCCAGCACCCATAAGGTGGTTCACAACCATCCTTAACTCCTGATCTGAGGGAATCCAATGACCTCTTCCAAAGGAACTAGGCGTGCCTGTGGTGCACACATATGCATGCATGTAAAACATTCATGCATGTAAAATAAGATACGTCTTTTTAAAAAAAAATTAAAGCCCACCCAGATGATATCCAAGATATTCTGGAAATATCTCCAGAAAGCACTTTCATACCATTATCATATGGCCTTATTATCTATGACCTGTAACAGGGAACACACTGTATCTGGATGGGGTTGGGGTGAGGAAACCAACCTTCCATGATTAATTGTCTACTTAGAGGCTTTTTCCCCCTATACTCCAGGAACAAAATTAAAGAAAGCAAAACTATTCATCCTACCACTTAACTAGACATTCACACATACATGCTCACTGGTACTCACATGCATATACACTAAACACATACATACATACACATACACACACACACACACACACTCTCACACACACACAAGGCGGGGGGAGGATGCTGAGCAGACGTTACCAGCCTTTCTCTTGCCGCACTGTGTGAAAGACTGTACACTGGGATTCCCTAAAACACACCAAGTTCCCCAGCTGCCACAGATCAGTACTGAATGAACTATGTTGGCATTTCTGTAATATGAACCATCAAAACTATCCTTGGCTCAAAGGCACCTACAGCTAAAATAAAGGAAATAATCCCAGGCACTTTTCCACACCCCTTTTCAAAAATTCTTTCTGTGGGAAAGGAGGAGACAGGGCAAAAGGAAGGAGGAAGAAAGGGACACAAATCATTCCTAACAAAAGAGTGACTTGAACACACACACACACACACACGACCATTTAAATACAAAACCAGGGAGAATTTATAAATCCTAATTCACATTATATTTCCAAATAAGAAATTGACTGATTCCACATAGAAATATCTGAAAATGGAAAACAATAAATAATATGATTATTTCCTGCCAAAAATCATGATAGTATATATCTAAAAACATTAATAAAAAATGTTACCATGATGCAGCCAAGAAAGCAAAAACAGATTCTGTGAGTAAAAGTTGTAACTATAGTTACTTAATAGTAGTCTTCATTAACTTAATATTCATGTTTCCTATTTTCAAACACTATATATCTGAGATGTATTGATGAGTAAGACATTATTATTGATAAAAGATGTATAGATTTTAAAATAACAGCTGTAACTTGAGAAAGTCTTTACTCTATAATACCCCCATACTCCCTCCCAAGGACACTCTGAACAGTTAAAACTATCTCCTTAACAGTGGCAAAAAGACTCAAACTCACCAAGGTGTCTTTCTTCCTCCCTCCCATGTCCCTGTCTTTCCTTCTCTGTCTTTTTCCCTCTGTGCTGGGAACCAGAACCTTGAACACTCTACACAAGTACTCTACCATTGAGCTACACCTCCAGCCAACTCTGGGGCCTCAAATTCTCAACCCTGTGTTGGCCTTCTGAGTTCTGGATTGAAGGTATGCATTGCCATGTCTGGCTTTTTTATTTTGTTTATGAAGTACAATGCTGAACCCTCAAAAGACATACAGCAGTTTTCTCTTGACCAAATAGGTGAATAAATGTGCATAGAAGGGCACACAGTAACTAGACTGAGCCAGACACATGAAAAAAGATGTGGGCACATCTTTAGCCCAGGATTTAGGAGCTGAGGCAGGATACCAGCATGGGATGGACAACAAGACTTTTTTTTTTTAAGACAATGTCTCATCATGTAGCTCTGGCTATCCTGGAACTCACTCTGTAGACCAGGTTGGCCTTGAATTTACAAGGATCCACCTACCTCTGCCTCCCAAGGGCTGGGATTAAAGGCATGTGCCAATCTTAACAAGACAATCTTAAAACAAAACAAAAAAAAAGGTCTAACTGATGCCTATGCAGTCTTGTAGAATACTCTGATCAAATCCATGTTCAAACCAGTTTTTCTGTCTCATCTGCTTTGGCTCTATCCTTTTTCAGGCTCTATTGTAAAACAAGATGGCTGGTTACAGGGGGATTGTTTTATGAAATGCCTGTCTTCTATCTCCTTTAATGAGGCAAAGGGGGCAAAGTTGATTCCATTTCTAGAACCAGACCCTAAGACACTGGCAGCTTCTCTCTCCCATCTCTTTCTATTCTCTCTTCTGGAGGATTGCTGTTATAATGTCCTGGTACTCCTGAGATTGCTATGCTTCCTGTAATACCGACTAAGCCCAACATGCCAGCAATACTCACCACTAGCTAACACCCTCCTGGCCCTTGCAAACCACCCACCAGTTGACTACCACTAAGTAACCTCAAGTCAATGGCAACAGAAGAATTGCCTACATTGGCCCTTTCTAAATTCTTGACCTACAAGACTGTGATTAAATTGAATGATGATTTCAAGTCTCTGAGTTTGGGGGATAATTTGTTACAAATTAATAGCTAATTGGAAGATGTTCTTTCTCAATTTCTCCTTTCTCTCTTTTTAAACACTATCAGTGGAAGGCAAGGCAGCCATCCCAATATGAGCATGTCTGTGAGCTAGTGTAGACCTTGAGCTCCTAAGGTTAGCCCTGAAGATAGTTCAGGCATTGAGAGTTGGGAGAAGAAACTGGGCTGTGAATATGGGTGTTTGGCCTTATCTTGAAAGCAAACAGCCACCCAAGTCCACAGAGTCTCCAACAGGTGCCACGGAAGACCGTACCTGCCTCATGAGCTCCTCTTGACGCATCCTAATCCTTTCTCTCTCCATCTGGATCCTCTGAAGCCGCAGTTTCTGCTGCTGCTGCTGCTGAGTGGTCAGTGCATTGGGCACACTCATGAGCCCCGTGGGTGGGTTCTGAGTTGGGTGGTTCTGTGGACTCAGGCTAGTGGCCACGACTTGCTGGTGTTGGTGATTCATCGCTACAGAAGGGAATAACAAACAGATCAATGTCCAAGGCCTATGATACCTTATCATAGAGACCATCAGAATGCTTTGTGCTTTGGAGTATGGATTCTTGAATTCCTTTCAAGCACTTCGCCATTAATCATCACTACTTAACAATTATTGCTTTAATTCAATTCATAAAGGTACAAATTCATGAAGGTGCAGGTACCAGCTCCATACTATCTAGTTAGTTTTCTGTACTGTTAGACATATTATTTCATATGTTTCCTATACCTAGAATACATTTGTATTACACTTAATTGTGTGTGTGTGTGTGTGCACATGTGTGTGTGTACATGTGTGTAGGTTTTTGCGCTCATGCTTGTGCACTTGTGGGCACATACACATGTAAACCATAGTTGGTTCTCTACTTCCACCATGTGGGTCCCACAGTTGGGCTCATGTGGCTAGGCTGACACCAAGTATCTTTACCCACTGAGCCATCTCTGAAGCCCTATCCTCAAATGCATATTAAACTTAACATAAAACATAATGGTCAAAATATGTCACACAAAGTTTGTTACAAGTTAGTAAAAAATTTTTGCCAGGACAACCAGGAGTGTGTGAACTTTTCAAACACCTGAATAGCTGTAGCAGCATTACAGAAGGCACGCAATCAATTCCCAATATCCAGTGGCTCTATAAGAATACTCAGAATGAATGGGTGAACTGAGAACAACAGGGAAAAAAAACAGACATCAATCATAAAAGAGGCCCAGTTCATACTCTCTTGGAAGAATAACTCCTGGGACGGGAAGCATAGCTCAGTTAATAGAGTACTTGCCTGTGGGGAAAATTTAAAAAGGCCACCACAGTGGCGCAAGCCCCGGAGAGGCTTCCACCGCCGTGGCGGGTCCCACATCAGGGAAGAAGATCCTATGGTTCCAGCGGCCCGGAGGCCTTGGCAGCGGCAGGCCCCAGTAACACGAGGAAGTCCTTGGTTCTAAAAAGGTTTATTGTCATGGCGGATAATAGATGGATCTAGGCGTATCCCCCAAAAACTCAGGGCAGTCCCGAGTTATATAGGGAGGGAGAAAGGGGGAGGATCTGGGGGAGGAATGTTTAATTTGCTCTGTCCTCTGGCCTTCATTAGTATGTAAATCTCTAGGGCCTGAGGCCTATAGCCTGGCCTATGTGACTCTATGGAGATCTATGTGACTGCTTTTCAGGATCCTAGATGATGGGAGGGACCGAACTCCTGCCGGTTCTCACGCAGAATTCCACGGAGAATCTCGAGGTTCTAAGTACCTGCACAACCATGACCCAGGATACCCTTATGCAGTCCCACACTTGCCTAACATGCAGGAAGCTCTGTCTTCATCCCTAGCATCCTATAAACCTGGAGTGATGGTGCATTCCTATAATCCTAGTACTCAAGTGTGGAAACGGGAATCAGAAAAGCAGGGTAATCATACAGGGTAATATTGTAAAGCAACACAGCAAATGAGCCCGGTTTTGGCTACATGAAATCCAGTCTAAAACTGTCCAAAGGGGTTGGCGTGGAGGCCAGGCAGTGGTAGCACACACATTTAATCCCAGCATTCCAGAGGCAGAGGCAAGAAGACCTCTGAGTTGGAGGCCAGCCTGGTCCACAGTCCAAGTCCCATGACAACCAGTGTTACACAGAGAAACATTGTCCCAAAAGATAAAATAAATAAATAAAATAAAATAATAAAATAAAATAAAATAAAATAGGGCTGGAAAGATGACTCCGTGGATAAGAGCCCTGTGGCTGCTCTTCTGGAGGACCAAGTTCCCAGTACTCATAGAAGTTCACTACCATCTCTAGTTCCAGAAGATCCAACACCCTCTTCTGACCTCCACAGGCACCAGGCATGAATGTAATACACAAACATATATGCTAGTAAATACTACACACATACACACACACACACACACACACACTCACACACAAAGATTTGGAGACAGGGTTGTGCTCGAACACAGACCATGACTAATTCTGCCTCCAAATACTGAGATGTTTCAATTAAAGCCCAAAAGTTAAAGGTTTGTATTTATATTTGTTCAGGGGATAGAATCTTGTATATAAAGAATGTTCTGGCTACCCCAAGCCTCCAAGTTGAATATTTTCATCTTCAGTTTGCTGTGTGTATTATGTGGAAGCATGTCGTATAACTGAAGTTCCTTGGAGGAGAGACAGAGCAGCCTGGTTTCTGTGTCTAAAGCATGGATTACAGGTGTGAGATGGTCCCAGCTCAATTACTAAGCTTTGATCTGAGGCCCCAGTGGAACCTTATGGGCATTTCTCTCACCCTTAGTTTGAGAAAAACAAAAACAAACAAATAAAAAACCCACCGTCCTTATTGATGGCAGAATATTTGAAATGTATATTTTCCTTCCAGAACTTGGTATAGCCAGCCTTTGTTGAAGGCTGGAGGAAGAAGGACTTTGCACATATGGTGTCACAGAGAAAAAGCTCCCTCACATAGTTTCACCTAAGACAAAAATCCAGACAACCTAAAATGGTTAATTCATAAAATCTGTTTCAAGTCAAAGGAAGGAAGTGTTAAACAATTATCTCAAAGGATAGACATTTCTGAACTCTCTAGAAAAGAGCATTTCTACTTTTCTGACATAACTGCTGTACACAAGAAAAAGACACATAATGTTCAAATATCAGAAACACCCAGTTTGGGGGTGGGTGGGGTTAAAAAGCATGGGCTGTAAATATTATTGCTTTTTTTCTAAATATTAATTACCTAACGTTTTTTACTTATGTGTTTTTGTATCTATGGGTGTTCAGGGAAGCCAAACCACCAGACAGAGGTATTGAAATCTGAATTAGGTTCTCTTGAAAGAACAACACACACACTAGAGCCACGTCTCCAGGCCAAAGGCTCAAGTTTTAAAAAGTCTGACTGAGCTCTGAGAAGTTACTAACATAACAAGATTTGTTATGTGTGGCACTGTCTTCAGCCACCTAGAGAGAGAGTATCCTTGAAGAACATCCTTGCTGCCCGGGGTTCGCTCACAAACCGTACACTCCTCCACCACTCAACTCCATGCCACAACCAGACGCTCTAATGTCTGATTTTTTTTTTTAAGTCTGTGTATTTAAGACTCAGGGGCTGGCTCTTTCCAAACCACACCCTTCTTGATCTTCAGAACAACTGCTCTTACAGGCATTCACTTCACAGGAGATGTTGGTGGGAAGGGAATAGTAGAGCTCTTCTTTTCTTCCACCAAATTTAGATTTGATCATTGAGACTAAACATCCCTGGTTATTAACTATAGAGTCTGGAAAAGACCAGGACTTAAGACAATGGTTTTGTTTTCAAACTAAAACATAATCAAGCACAGCACATTCACCAAGCATGTGAGGATATTTATAATAATATTACAGCAGTAAGACTAAACATGACCTATTTATTCATCCATCCATCCATCCATCCGTCCATCCATCCATCCATCCATCCATCCATCCATCCATCCATTCGCATCAGTGGTTCGCCTGCATGGATGTCTGTGTGTGGTGGATGTCAGGTCCTCTGAAAGTGGAGTTAGACTGTTGAGAGCTGCCATGTGGTTGCTAGGAATCAAACCTGGGTCCTCTGGAAGAGCAGCTACTGCTCTTAACCACTAAGCCACCTCTCCAGCCCCCTAAACATGATCTTTCTGCCTATTAGTTCCACACTATAGTCCGTCCTTTCAGGGGCATGCTAAATAATAATAATAGTAACAACAACAATAATAATAATTCCAGAGAATAAGGAAATAGAACAATCTCATGGGTCATAGGAACAAAACCATAAGGGACCATGGGACTGCTTATGGAAAGAGCGATGTGGGTTATGCATATACACCACTTGTTCTAGAATCAGCCTGAAACTGGTGACAGTGGTGCCTCTGTGGGGGAGGCCATGTGAGTGTCAAAGATGGAAGACCCTCTTCCCACTCTGCGTCATTTACGTTCTGCCAACATCCACATACAACTTACATAAAACACAGACCAAATTTTTTTTTTTTAATTAGTAGTTGAAATAACAGGAGCTGGAGAGATGACTAGGCAGTTAAGAGCAATTGTTCTTGCAGAAGGTGGTTTCCTAGCACATGCAAAGCAGCTTACAACCCTCCTAAACTTCAGTTCCCAGGAAGCCAGTGCCCTCTCCTGGCCTCCTTGGACATCAGGCATGCATGCAGTGCATACACATATATGCAGGCAAAATATTCCCACACATTAAATAAAAATAAATCTTTTTTGCAAAAGCTCAAAACATAAAAACTATGGCCCTACAAAATACCAAACTCAGTATGTTCCTGGAGTCATAGGTTAAAATGAGACTAGAATTATTTCAAACACAACAAACAAGACTGAGAAGGTTAAGACCATCAGAGCTAAGAGTCTGCTTGTTGCAACTGCTCAGAGTGCAATACAGAAATGAGGAAGACAAGACCCAGGGGAAGCAGCCCAGAAGCTGGTGTCTTGGCTTAGCTCAGGCATCCACTACTCGACTCTGTTCCTTCCCACTGAGTAATTTCTAAAGGCTCCTGAGATACCACTAGACTGGAGGTCATGACCTTCACCGCTGGTTGAATATCTTTAATATCTTTAGGGGTCAGGGGAAGAGAAGATGACTACAACACAAAGAAGGTCACCAGGAAAACACACTCAAAACATCTAACTGTGCAATGGACAAAAGGTTCATTGGGATGCTCCTACTTTTAAAAAGAGTGCCCCCAATGCAGTATGAGGCCAAACTATCATGAACTGCTCAGAAAGACTGAAGACCTTATGGGTTCAAGACCTTTTACTACCCTCCAAAGAAAGAAATAATCCAAACACATAATTCCTCTACTGACACAAGATAGCAACAAGCTCAAGTTGAGCCATCTGTTTTTCCTGCTTCCAAGAGAGTAAAATTATCTTTCTCATCTTTGTTCTATTTGGGGAGAAGGAGATAAATTGGTTTTCTTCTGTTGTTGAAAACTGGCTTTTATAATAAAAAATTAGGCT